CACTGGGTGTGATGTTAACTGTATAATGTTGTAGGTACCCCTTATCAATTTGAGGAGGTACCCTTCTGGGCCGAGTTTGCTGATGGTTTTTATCATGAATGAGTGTTAGATTTTTGTCAGATGCTTTTTCTGCGTCTCTTCATGAGTGTGTATTTTGTGGATATCTCTGGCTCTTTTCTTAGAATCAATACCTGGAAATGAAAGTAGAGGATCAAAATGCATAAACATTTTTAAGCTTTTTGCATCCTATTTCTAAATTGCCATTCAGGGAAATTTTGCCAGTGTACAGTCCCCCGGGCTGTGCAGGAGTGTTTCTCCAAACCCTTAGCTGCACTGGATTTTCTAATTTTTAAATTACTGCTAATTTCATAGACCTCCCCCTCAATGATTTCTTGTCCCATCTGCATTTATTTCATTACTCTGGACTTAAAAATTTTATTGGTTATTTGTATTTATTCTCTAGTGATTTGTTTCTTCTTGTCCTTTTGCTGTTTTTCTATTGGGAATTCTCTTTTTTTCTTTTTGATTTACATACCTTTTTTCATATTAAAGCTATTAATCTTTGTCATATATATGTCCCCATTTGTTCTTTGGCTTTTCGTTTTGTTTTTGTTTTTACTAGACTGTATTTTTTTTAGAGCAGTTTAGGTTCATAACAAAATTGAGTAGAAGGTACAGAGATTTCCCATTTAGCCCCTGCTCCCCCGCACAGCCTCCTCCATTGTCGACATCCCCCACCAGAGTGGTACAATTGTCACAATCGATGAACCTACACTGACACATCATTACCAACTGAAGTCTATATTTTACATTAGGGTTCATCTTGGTGTTCTACAGTCTGTGGGTTTGGACACACGTATAATGACGTGTATCCACATTACAGTATCGTGCAGAGTAGTTTCACCGCCCTAAAAATCCTCTGTGCTCCACCTGTTCATCCATCCCTCCCCCATCCCCTGGCCACCACTGATCTTTTTACTGTCTCCATAGTTTTGCCTTTTCCAGAAAGTCATAGAGTTGGAATCCTACAGTCTGTAGTCTTTTCAGACTGGCCTTTTTGAATTAGTAATATGCATTTAAGGTTCCTCCATGTCTTTTCGTGGCTCAATAATTCATTTCTTTTTAGTGCTGAATAATATTCTCTTCTCTGGACATACCAAAGTTCGTTTATCCATTCACCTACTGAAGGATATCTCAGTTGCTTCCAAGTTCTGGCAATTATGAGGGGCCATCAAAGGGTGGTGTTACTTCCAGCCGCCCTCACCCCATCCTCCCGACTCCACATGCAGATAGCACCATCCTCCAAAACCTGCACGCCCTTCCCAGCATGCTGTGTTCTGCTCTTCCTGTGGGGTGGGCCAAGGTTTCCAGAAACCGGATCCAGGATGCAGGCTCCCTCTGGCAGGGTCATGGGTGAAGGCCCCTCTCTGCTGCTGTGGCCAGGAGGACCGGTGCCCTGGAAGGGAAGGAGCCTTAGAGGGAGGGCCCACCGCACACCTTCCTGCAGCAACTTGCTTCCAGGCAGAAGCCTGCTTAAAGGCTTTTACAACTCCTGGGGGGAAGTATTTTCATTCACTAATTGATTAATTAATTAATTCAGGGCACCATACTTGCAACCTACCACTGGGGCTCCATCAACTTATTGTTCAGCCGACTCTAAAGGCTCAGAACAAACAAAAGCAAGAGCAAATTTAGAAGTTTCGATATTTAAAATGTTGAAATCTGGCCCCAATGTCTCTTTGACCTTGAGAACCACAACTCAATAATTTTGGAGGTTTCTTCCTCCCCCCTCAAGCTTTTTCTGAAAGCAGACACTTCTGATGTGTATGTGTCAGTTATCTATTGCTGTGTAACAAACAACTCCAAAACACAGCAACTGAAAATAACAACCTTTTATTTGCTCACATGGTTTTGGTTGGGCTAGGCTAAGTCAGGCGGTTCTGCTGGGCTCTCTGGGGCTTATGCAGGCAGCTGTAGCCAGCTGGAGGCTCAACCAGGGTGGAGGGTCTGAAATGACCTCTATCCACATGGTTGGGGGGCTCTGATGCTGACTGTCATCTGGGTCTTTCTCTCCTCGTGGTCTCTCATCATTCGCGCCTGGGCTCCCGTACCTGGCAGCAGAGTGAACCGAGAGTGAGCATGCAGAAGCTGCCAGGCTGCTTGGGGCCAGGCTCTGGAGCTCACAGAATGTCACTCACCCCACATGCTGTTGGCCAAAGCAACTGACAAGGCCTGCCTGGATTCAGGGGATGGGAAAATGGACACCACTCTTGACAGGATGAGCTGCAAAGAATTTGAGGCCATTTTAAATTGACTCTGTGCCCGACACTGCACAGGTTACTGGGTAGAGAAAGAACTCACTTGCTATGTTTTGCTGTGAGGATGCTGGCTTTTCTCTTTGTCGTTTCTGTTTTTGCATTTTGGTGATCCTCAGAACACAACAAAAACTAAGAAATGCTACATTTCCTAGAGTTTAGCATCTTCTAGCTCTATCTATAAAACATTTTTAACTTACAGCATTTGGAGAGTTATTGCCTAAATAAACCATCCTTTTAATTTTAATGTACCACACATAATAATTTTATGACCAAACCAAATTATATGCAGCACATGTGAATATTCTTAAAACCAAATTGCTCTACATGTGTAAAAAGATAAAAAATTAAAACTGTACATATTTCAATTTTCCTAAGATTTTATTTCCCTACAATTTTTTTTCTATGACTTCAAAATTCCCAGACATTTTACATTTTCATCCCAGGCATGAGTATTAAATGAGTTCGTGTTCTGTGCCAGGCCTGCACTGGGACCTGGGGATGCAGAAGCAACCAGGATACAGTCGTAACCCTGTGGCAACCCATGTCGTCCTCAATGACCTCGATGATCATACAGTCATCTGCTATCACAGGCCCTAAATGACAGAGAACCGAGGCTTCCATCAACTTTGCTCCAGTTTGAACCCCTGGAACCCCAGCTGTAGGTTCCAAGCATAGTGTCTTGAATTAATTAATCAATCAATTAATTAATGCAAATAATTTTCCCCTAAGGAGTGATAAAAGAGTTTAAGCAGGCTTCTGCCTGGAGGCAAGTTGCTGCAGGAAGGTATGTGGCAGGCTCTCTCTCTGGGGCTCCTTCCCCACCAGGGAACCAGTCCTCCCCGGCGTATGATTCTGCCAGAGTGAGTCTCCATCCCGGATCTGTTTTCCGGAAACCTTGGCCAGTCCCACGGGGTAAGCAGAAGGCAGCCTGTTGGGAAGGGTGTGCAGGCTTTAGAGGATCGTGCTCTGTGCGTGTGGAGTGGCGGTGGGGAGGATGGGGGGCGGGGGCTGGAAATAATGCCACCTTTTGGTGGCTCCTCTCCAGCTGGGTTTGGAGGCAAGCCCGGGATGGGCCGGCCAGCTGGGGAAGCACGCCGAGCACATGCTCTCCCGGCTGCTGCGGCCGCATTGTTCAATAAGCAGATTATGAAACGCTGCATAAAGTGGCATGGTGGGGGGCTGTCTTCAGACCTGTGACTTGCCTTGTTTTGCACAATAATTGCGTGGTGCAGCCCGGTCAGGGTCCACTCGGGGAGACGGGCGAATCCCTCAGCCTTTTTGGGTCTGAGTTTGCCGTGTGGCCACAGTGGTTCAACTTATCTACCTACCTTCCCATCCGGCTATCTATCTTTATCTGAGTCTGTTTCCTTGGAGAGCCCCAGTGCCCCACAGAAACAGAAGGACCTGGCTCGGCCTACCTCCCCCTGCACACCAGGCCCGGTGTTGTTCTAGAAGCAGCAAAGGTTCTAAAAAGACAGTCTGTCTCTTTGAGGAAGTTCCAAGTTCTGAGGGATTGTCCTCGAACCCTCCAAGGTAGCCCATTTGAGGAAGAGGTGCTTCTGACACACTTATGTTGTGGGCTAAAACGGGAAAGCAGGATAAAGTGATTGCAGTTGTTTCTCTGTAGAAAGCTGGGGTTGGAGTCCAGAACCGAAGCTTGCCTTTACCCTGAGTATATTTTAATAGGCATTTGCTAGATGTTACTATTAAATCTCAGGAGATAGCATTTAACCTGGGGGGTGGCTGAATTCATGTAATAAAATATTTTGCAACTGGGGCTCTAAACAAATTCATGAATTTTTTTTAAAAAGCAGAATAAATGGGGTTGTATTTGTGAACTTCGAACTTAGAGGCAGTGAAATAAGCTGGTGAGGACATAGGCTGCAAAGCTTGGTTCAAATTCAGCTCCACCACCTGCTAGCTGTGTGGCCTGGGGCACGTTACTTAACCTCTCTGGGCCTCAGTTCCTCTTCTGTACAATGAGGGTAATAATACTACTCATTTCGGAGGATTAATGTGAGGATCATATGTAATAAACACACATGAGAAGTGGTTAACAGAGAGCCAAGCCCATACTGTTTCATAAGTGTTCATTATTTGTATTAATAGTATTAATAACCCAAATGTTTCCTTACTGAACCGATATTTTTTCAGGAAAATAGTGAATCAATTTGAATCCAAAGGGAAGCCCCATGCTGTCTGAAATGGTCATGAAACAGCTTCTCTTAGAAAACCCTGAGGACCAGGGTGCCCAGCACTGAGCACACTACAGCCTTAGTCAACACAAAGCCCCATTATTATCCTCATGTTGCAAAAGTGGAAACGAAGGCTCAGAGAGGTTTGGTAACATTGCCCAAGTTCATATAGCAAGGGCCCGTCAGTGTGGCCTCTTCTGTCGCTATGACAACTTACTGCCTCTGTTGAAGTGGAACTGAATTTGATCACAAAAATGCTTTCCCATCTACATGAAAATGTCATTGGGCATGACCTGTGATGGGATTCATTCATTCATTCATTCATTCATTCATGGGTGTCTATGGAGAGCCTGCGACGCACGCATCCTTGTTCACAAGTGTGTAAAGCCTTGTGCGCATGTTTACACAGTTTCCCCGTGCCCTCCCTGCCCTTCCCCAGTGACTGCATGGACAGAGAAACGTGTGGCCATCACTTGACCTGCTCCACCAACCCCCCCTCCAGCGCGGACGCACCCCTGCGCTTCCCAGACAGCAACGGCCTCCTGCAGACGCCGCGCTGGGACGAGCCGCAGAGGGCGTGTGCCCTGGAACAGATCTGTGGCGTGTTCCGTGTGGACCTGGGGCAGATGCGCTCCCTCCGCCTTTTCTTCAGGTGAGCGCCGCTTCCTGGAAGTTGGCCTGTGTTCGGTGTCCCGGCGTGGGTGGGGCTTTAGGTCCAGGGCCCTGGCTGGTTCAGCTAACGCTGGCATTCCCAACATCACTAGTCTCGTCAGCAGTGGTACCCACTATGGCTGCCCTGCAGGAACCTGGTCGGGGTGGCCCCCAAACTCTTTCATCAGCCTTCGGGGTGATGGTAGCCAGCTAGTGCTTGGAGCTCCGGCTTGGGGGAAGAAGTGAAGAAGCCAGACCAGGGCTGCACAGAGAGGAGTGTGTGCAGGCTGCTCCCCGGCACCCACCCACAGGCTCTGCGGCTTGGCCTGTGTGCTCAGGATGGGCTGTGGCTTCCTGAAGGGAGGCACCCTTTCTTTCATGGTGGGCGGACCATCGCTATTAGTGTCCTGCCTCGTAGTCCCATCTCTCCTCCTGAAAGACAGGGTGGCCCTAATGAAAGACAGCACCAACCGAAGACCTGTGCTTGGAAGAAGCAGGCGCGTCACTGGAAGGGGTTCCCCGACCCAGAGACACATTCCAGCCCTTTACAAATGGGCAGCCGAGGTTGGGCGGACGGCCTGATGGACGTGCAGCCAATTTCCCTGGAGGAGTCTCCCAGACTCCCAACCATGCACCATGTTCTCTTAGCACCTGCCCAACCTGGGCTCAAAATCTGATTCCACCTAAGGGCATCCCCCCTCCCTGCCCCCATCTCCTGGAGAGAAAGGACTATAGACCTGGCAGGTAGGAGTGGGGACAGAAGGCTGCTCTGGCAGGTCTCCCGGGAGCGAGGACAGTCCTACTTCCCAGCCTCCCCAGGAGGGGGCTATTTTGCCTTCTCAGCAGAGGGGGTGATGGCTTCTGTTGGGGCATAATTCTGTCCCCCTCCCGCCAGCAGCCAAACTGCACGGGGACTTTCTGTTTCCTGCCTCTGAGGTCTGGTGATAGCGGCCACTTCTGATTATGCTTGGAAATAAAAACCCGTTGTTTACGTGTTCCTTGGTCTTTTCTCTTCCCCTCCAATGGCCGCTCAGCGACGAGGCCTGCAGCAGCGGCCAGCTGGTTGTGGCCAGCCGGGAGAGCCAGTACAAGGTTTTCCACTTCCACCGCGGCGGCCTGGACAAGCTGTCAGACGTGTTTCAGCAGTGGAAATACTGTGCCGGGACGCACCTCCAAGACCAGGTAGCCCGGAGGACGCCACCCTGGGGGACGCCTGGCTGCTAAGACCCCCTCCCTGCCCCAGCGGGTCCAGGACTCCCCCGCACAGGTCTCTCCTCCTGAGCCCGAGGTCCCCGGGTGTGACCCGTGGTTGCTGGGCAGCTGATAGAGCAGCAAGTTGGGGTTTGAAACATGTGCCCAGGGCTTCTTGTGGAGTCAGTGCTCGGCACTTGAAACATCATGTTTTGACAAGGCTTCCTGCCATATTTTGCTCGATCTACATACAGACGTAATAAGAGCTCTTTAATTATCTGTTTAAGATACTGTATGTGCTTATTAGAAATGGGGCTGACTTTAAAATTCCCTTCCTTCCCACAGAGCTCCTGCTGGCTTCCCTTATTAAAGGAGCATGGCTTTCTTTTCCCCCTACATTGAACAACCTTTGATTTTTGAATTAAATGTCAGCTGCAGTTTTGCCCTGGATTCGTGACTGCCCGTGGAGACAACCTGACAGGCGGGCTCCCCGCTCGCAGAACAGCGATCCCATTGTATGTGGCCAATCACATGTAATTTATTGCAGGCCCTCCCGGCAGAGGGAAGTTGGGCCATACAAAGCATTAATTCCGTGTTTGCGGCCAGCCGGGGTCGGAGGGAGAGTGGGGGGCGGCAGTGAGGGGCATGGCGGTCGATGGGAGTGGGCCAGGGAGCCCAGTGGCCAGGGGAAGCCAAAGCTAAGATGAAGGTATTTTCATTTTAATTGCATGTAATTACACTCGCCATTTAGGGGTTTGTGTGCAGGGGGAGCGGTCCCGCTCCTTTCAGAAGAGAGAGAGAGCCTGTCACATTCTGGGAAGACGTCGCTGGCTCCAAAGCCCTGAGTCGAAGACACTGATCTTCCCCGTTTCCTACTGTCCAGCAGGCCACCAACAAAAAGACATGCATGCAGTTCTCCATCCGACGACCCAAACTGCCCTCGTCCGAGACGCACCCCGAGGAGAGCGTGTACAGAAGGCTGGACGTCTCCGCCTGGCTGCGCCACCTGAACGAGCTGGGCCAGGTGGAGGAGGAGTACAAGCTGCGCAAGGTGAGGCCGGGCCCTCGGCGGCCGGGGAGCTGGGGAAGGGGGTCGGGCACCCTGTGGCCACCTCCGGGGGGTCCGTGCCCTGGCGCGAGGAGCTGTGTGAACACGCCCGATGAAGCAATCAAAGCCGCTGTCATGAAAAAGAAACCTCCCGAGCGGGTTTGGGGGATCCCGCGTCAGCCTGTATAGAAGGGCGCACAGTGAAATGCAGCACTTCCAAACCGGGGATTAGGCCATGACGTGAGAACCACACGTTAATCTGAGCACCGCCCCAGGGGGGGCATTGACATTGAAATGAGCCTGGTTTGTGTCCTGTATGGGAATGGAGGGCCGGCGCTTTCCCCGTCCAAACATGTGCAAATTGCAGCGACCTGAATCAAGGCATCAGTTGTCAAGAAGGCGCAGCAAAGCCACCAAAACACACATCTCCGGGGATTTAGGGGTGCTCCGAGCGGCCCTGTTTTGGCCCCTCCCCAACTTTTGCCGCTTCCTCCAGGCCATTTTCTTCGGCGGCATTGATGTGTCAATCCGGGGGGAGGTCTGGCCCTTCCTGCTGCGTTATTACAGCCACGAGTCGACATCGGAGGAAAGGGAGGCGCTTCGGGTGCAGAAGCGGAAGGAATATGCAGAGATCCAGCAGAAAAGGTGACCGCCACCCGGCCCGCCCTTGAACCGCGGAGGGAAATGTCATTTGAAAAGGCAATTGGAGGTGCAATTCAGCCTTGATAATATGTTCTGTGACCCATAGTTTCTTTCAAAAATGGGTCTCCCAGGAATGTGAGTGATAGGGTTGGATAAGTGCAGCCATTATCCTGAGTGCTCGGCCTCGGAACCTGGCGCTCTCTAGCTTGCATGTCAAGGTTTTAGAATTCTTTTTCAGAAACAGACTTAACTAGGCACTGACATCCAACCGCTGAGCACTGGGGTGGCAGCGGGGCCTCAAGGGGCCACCCGGGAGCGGACTGCTGAGGTCTGTCTGGGCCTGGCTGGCCCCAGGCCGTGGTCAGCTCTCCCTGGTGCTGGGACCCATGAGGCGGAATTAATGTTGGGGAAAGCCTTGGATACACACCTCAGCGGGGAGCTGGAGGGTCTGCGGTGGCGGCAGCACCCCAGTTCCCATCTGGGGAGCAGAGGTTGGGAGGGATGGCCTCTGCCCCCAGAGTGTATGGCTTGTTGACCCCTGGTGGGCGCTCTGCTCCGGGCCAGGCTCTCCATGACTCCTGAAGAGCACAGAGTGTTCTGGCGCAACGTGCAGTTCACCGTGGACAAGGATGTGGTTCGGACAGATCGGAGCCACCGGTTCTTCCGAGGCGAAGGCAATCCCAACGTGGAGAGCATGAGGTACCCACCTCCCCCCACGGTTCCTCCCCCAGATGCCTAGGGCCCCGCCCCCTCGCTTCATTTCCTCATCTGTGAGCCACTCTGTGAGCATCACCTTACCCCTAGGGCCTAAGTTGACCCTCTGGGCAGTGGACGAACAGCAGCAGCTTCTGTGGGGGCCAGGGGTAGAGGGTTTTTCTTCCAGCTTAATCATAGTCCCAGAAGTAGAAGATCATTCGCTACTTTGGCAATGTCAGTTGGCCTCTTATGGCCATAGTGTCCGGGAGAGCCCTGTAGGTCCCTCCCAAGGGTGCCAGCAAAGCCCCCCATCCTCTGGGCGCTCACCAAGGCTGTCCTTGCTTGGCTCACACCAAGCATGGATGAGCCTCCCCCTGAGTGTCTGTCTCTGTCTCCCAGTGGGTGGTCCTCCGGGTGATAAAGCCACACAGAGCCCGGGGTTGGCATTTTTGACATTCTGCTGCTGCCTGGCAAATAATTGCACAAAATTAGCAGCCCATAAAATGTCCCTGCCAGCCTACCCTTTGTCACAGGCAGTTGGCCATTAAGAAAATCAGACCCACATTCCTCCTTCCCCCTGCTCTGGAGGTCTGGGCCTGGCGAGTGGCTAATTGCAGGCCACTCAATTTCTCAAGGCTCTGGAGGTGGTCCCCAGAGCTACCCTCCTTCCCCTGAGATCGAGGCGAAGAGGGGGATCCTGGCAGCCCAGGGTCTCCAGCCTGGGGTTCTGTGGGTGCTGGCCCAGGTGACATGCCACCAAGAAAACAGCAGGGGTGGGCTCTGTTGTGGCCGCTCTCCGCTGACCTGCCTGCTTCCTGCACCGTGTCGCCAGGAGGATCCTGCTGAACTACGCCATGTACAACCCGGCCATCGGCTACTCCCAGGGCATGTCAGACCTGGTGGCACCCATCCTGGCCGAGGTCCTGGACGAATCAGACACCTTCTGGTGCTTTGTGGGTTTGATGCAGAACACGATCTTTGTCAGCTCTCCTCGGGACGAGGACATGGAGAAACAGCTGGTGAGGCTTGGGGATGTGTGTGGTGGAGGGCACCGGGAGAGCACACTGCCTCCTCCCCTTGCTGCCAGAGGTCACAGCAGTCACGTGTGGTTGGCAGGCAGCAGAAAAGCCAGGGTGGGCATTGCCAGTGGGGTATGGGGGGCTTAGCCCTGGCCTCTGGGGAAGAGTCAGCTCTCCCAGGAGGAACATATGCTGCTCCCAGGTCTCAGGACCTATGTTGCCATCCCCACCCCATGCTCCCTGCAGGCTGGACTATGCAGAGCCCTCCCCTGGGGCCTCCCACCTCCCTGCACATAGCATCCCAGCCCAGGCTCCCTGGTGGGGTGAGGAGGGAGGGCCCCATCACGCCTGGTCCTGCGCTTTATCAAACAGGTCCTCAGGTCCTTCTGGGCTGCTCCCTGCAGGGCTCCAGCACAGCCAGGACTCCTGAGTGGGGACAGGAACGGGAAGAGCTCCTGAAGCCACCCTGGAGCCCACTGGGCATTTGTCTCACCCTACCCAAGGGCAGGCCTTCCCTGCGGCACCCAGCCAGCACCCCTCCCTGCATGACCTCCCCTCACCTACACAGACCAGGCAGCACTAAATGTTGGGGCGGGGAACACACAAAGCTGGGTAAGCCGGTGCAAGGAGCGTTTGCTCTTCACTCTATGCAGCACCTGTGTGTTCCAAGCACCTGCCGGCTGCCAGGTGCCGGGCTCTGTGTCGTGGTCTTGGCTGCCGAGTCCAGGAGAGTGCTTCGGCCTGGAGGCTGACAGTGCAAGAGAGGATGCTGGGTGCTGGGGAGAGGTACAGAAAGTGCCCTGGTGACCAAGATGGGAAGGAAGGCAGGCGGACTAGCCTGACTCCAGAGTGCGTGGGGTCTGGCCCTGGACACTGCCGACACTTGACAGAACATAGCGTTCTGGGCAGTGACACTGCGTGGCCTGATCTTGTTGGACTGGACATGTCACATGCCATGAGGTCTCCGCCTCGAATGCCAGGGTCAAGGACTAACCATTAGGGCCGTTGAGACTGGAAGGCAGGTTTGAGGACAAGGGAGCCGGAGCAGGGAGGTGTGGACTGGAAGGGAGGGCACCTGGGGGTGGGGGTGGGGAGTGTCCATGAGGGAGGGGTCAGCTGCATGCGTGGACTTGACCCTGCTGTGGGCCACAGGGTGGAGAAACTGGCCAGTTGGGAAGGATCCTCAGAATCAGTTCCTACAAGGGCCCCGTGCCGCCCCAGCGGCTGTCTTGAGAGGGAACAATGGGCTACTTGTGTGGGAAGGGGCCTGTGAGTCACTGAGCCCCTGCCCCAAGATCCCCCGGCTGCAATCTCGAGAGCGCGGAGCCAGCCAAGCCTGCCCGCCCTCCGCGTCGGCCCTGTGATGTCAGGTTTCCGCAGTACCTGGGGAGGCAATTACAGGGTCTGACGCGATTCGGCCCTGACGGGCTCACACAGCACGTGGCCCAGTGACTCGTTACTGCTGGAGATAGATTTTCCAACAGCTCTGGTGAGGTCAGCTGCCTGAGCCAGGCGCTGCCAGAAATAGCCTCGATCTTGTCCCCCGTCACTGGGTGGTGTCCTAAAGTGCAGGAATCGAGCGTCCTGGGGTTCAGAAACACCCCCTCCCTGCTCTCAATCAGCTCTGGAAGGTGATGGATTTTGGCGATGGGAGCAGATAGTGGTTGGGCAGGGGTTCCATGGATGATCTGCTTGCCTTCCCAGGAAGGAAAGGGCATCAGACACAGCCCCCACATGGTGGCTGAGGTTGGGGAGTCTTCCCAGCCTTGGAGCTGCCACTGACCTCCCCGTCCACAGCGGGGTACTACGCTCTGCCTTGCCCTGGGCCATGCACCGAACGGTCTGAAATCTGGGATAAACTATCGAAGACAGGTGTGAGTCAAATTCAGTGGCAGGATAGAATAAGTGGGTGCAGACGCCCGTAGCAGATAGAGACCTGGTGAGTGTCGTGCCTGCTTTTCAGGGGTGGGGTGGCCCAAGGAAAGGCCCTGGTGGCAGTGGGCTTCCTGGGCCGGCGGGCAGGCCTGCGCGGGTGCTGGGGGGCTGACTCGTCCTGGCCTCGCCCCCAGCTGTACCTGCGGGAGCTGCTGCGGCTGATGCACCTGCGCTTCTACCAGCACCTGGTCTCGCTGGGCGAGGACGGCCTGCAGATGCTCTTCTGCCACCGCTGGCTCCTGCTGTGCTTCAAGCGGGAGTTCCCCGAGGCTGAGGCGCTGCGCATCTGGGAGGCCTGCTGGGCCCACTACCAGGTGAGCCAGGCCAGGGCACCAAGGGCTGGGGAGCAGGGACCTTGGCCCCAGAGTGATAGTCACCATCCCACGCCCGGCCTGTGGGGAGGGCAGGGTGCCGGCGTACTCTGCACCTCCTCTGGGGTCCTCCTCCTCCACAACCCCTGACCCCCCGTCAGCCACACATCCGCCCCTCACACAGCAACTGCCTTCTAGTCCCACATGGCTGGCTTCCAACCTGCAACTCACCTCCCAAGGAACTGAAATTGATGCAAACTGCACACTGACCGCACGCATTACCGCCTTCTGAGGCCGAGCTCGCTCCTGTCACAGCCAATCAGCGTGAAAGACACCGCGAGGGCCGAGCAGGCCCACCGCAGCCCAGGAGGCCGGTGCCCAATGTGCTGGAGCCAGTGCCCACCCCGCCTGCCCCCCTCGGGACGGCTCAGGAAAGGGCCAGAGACCCTGCTTCCCCATCGGCCCCTCCGGAGACCCCAGGACCAGCGTGCTGTCCCCTCCCAGTGATGTCGATTTCCACTTGCTGTCCACCATTATCAGCGTCTCCTCTACAAATTCCCCTGAGAGCACGGCATTGGCCCTGTCACATGGCTGTAACGCCCAAATTAGCAAGAAGCTGGCGGTGTTAAAGGATAGGCAAGTCTCTTGGAATCCATCAGCCTTTAAAAAAAATAGTATTGACGCATCCAAGAGGCGGCCAGGACCTTTTCTGCAAGAGCAGGCTGCACCCTCACTGCGCAGCCCCAGCAGCTCGCAGGTAGATGGGAGCAGCCACCAGCCCGCAGAAATGTGCATCAGCATTTCCCGCCCTTCCTAAGGTCACTAGAGGACGGTATCTGACAAGAGTGAGTCTGAGGAAAGCTAGTGCTGGTGCCACAGGCGGTCTTTGCACCCATCCGTCCTGCCCACCTCCTGCTCTCTCCCTGGCCCGGGTCGGGCTGCATCACCCGCCGGGATTAGCATGCTCGACGTGGGCGTTCAGGGCGGAATGTCTGCACTAATTGGGGAGCACTGGCATGGATGGTTCAAAATGCTGGATCACACTTTTTTAGAAAAAATCGTGTTTGCTGGGGCCGGCCTGGTGGTGCAGCGGTTAAGTGCGTGCGCTCCGCTTTGGCGGCCCGGGGTTCACAGGTTCGGATTCTGGGCGAGCACCGATGCACTGCTTGTCAAGCCATGCTGTGGTGGCGTCCCATATAAAGTAGAGGAAGATGGGCACGGATGTTAGGCCAGGGCCAATTTTCCTCAGCAAAAAGAGGAGGAGTGGCATCGGATGTTAGCTCAGGGCTGATCTTCCTCACACACACACACAAAAAATCGTGTTTGCTTTGCTAGGTTTCGGGCTAAATTTAGCTGTGTTTGGCGCCAAGCCTTGATCAAATGAGTTGCAGGGGGGCGGGGAGGTGGTAGAAGGACGGTGGTGGGGGCAGGCGAATTCATCAGGCGTGAGCTCTGCAGGGGCAGGGGGGTCACTACCAGGTGGTGCCTTTGACTTGTACAGTGACCTCTGAGTGAGAAAAGCTCTATTTTATCCATTTACTGCTAGTTCGCCTGCGGGGCTGGACTGCCCTGGGCCTTGTCCCATGAACTGAAATTAGTCCTGCACTGCTGTCCAGCCCTATTTAGGACGTGTCCCACCTTTTCCTCCTCACATTCCTCCCCAAGAGGAGCTGGACATCCTCCTTCCTGGAATTCCTCTGCTGTCTTCCCACCCCAGCCAGGGTTCATATAGCTGCAGAAGGATCTTCTGAGCTACAGCAAGACCATCCTGGGTTAGTTCGGAGGAAGGGGCGGGAAGTCCGGGGCCCAGCAGCCTGGCGGATGGTCTTTCCAGAGCAGGTGTGGTGCTGGGGCATTTGCTGCCTGTAACCTCGGCCCACATCAAGGGCTCCGCCCAGCCCGGTTTGGGAATGTGGTTCCACCTGGCTGGGTGGTCGACATCAGGAGACTAAACACAGGCTTCCTGGTGCTCCTTGTCCTTCCTCCTTTCCCGGAAGCGAGTGTGAATCAAAGGCGCTGTGCCCTCAAAGCGTCCAGGCAGGAGAGCGCACAGGATGCACCCGCCGTCAGGACCAGCTGTCGGCTTCCTGCCGCGTGCCAGGCGCTGCTGGGCAGCGGGGTGAGGCGGCGTCCGAGGAGGGCAGTGGAGTCCTCCGTGGGCTCTGAAAAGACGCTTCAAGACAGCGGGATCGTTTTAGCCACTCCGTGGGGACCATCAGGGAGCTGCTGTGCTCCGCTCTGTTAGGCTCTTATTCCCGCTTTCTTAGTGACAAACCTGCGTCATCTCTGGGGTGCGAGTTGTAATGTTCGGCCTGGAAGCAGGAGGACACTGGCCGGTGGGTGGCTGCCAGAGGTTCTTTCTCACTGGCGTGTTCCATGGAGCTTCTGATGCAGCCCACTGCACGCACCATCGCTCAAGACCTGTATGAATCAGGTGTTGGAATGAGCACAGGCCAACCTTCAGAGGAAGCGTGTTCTTTGCCCCATGATGGAGAACACGCAGAGGGCTCCCCAGAAGAGTAGCAGCAGCCCACGGGGGCAGCCCCAGCATCACCGCTCTGGATGTAGGTACTGACATTGCCCCTCTGCAGGTGGGGAAACTGAGGACAAAAGAGGCTACACGGCTTGCCCAGGTCCATGTGAACCCAGACAGCCTCACCTGGAGCCCTCACCCTGCACCTGTGCACTCAGTGTCCACCTGGAGGCAGGGCCTGGGGCAGGGTTAGGGGCCTTATCTGAACCCTACTCTCTACCCCCAGACAGATTACTTCCACCTGTTCATCTGCGTGGCCATCGTGGCCATCTACGGGGATGATGTTGTTGAGCAGCAGCTAGCCACCGACCAGATGCTCCTGCACTTTGGAAACCTGGCCATGCACATGAATGGGGAGCTCGTTCTGAGGAAGGTGAGCTACAGCCCTCCACGTGCAGCTCCACCCTCCACGTGTGTAGAGCCCTGCCTCCACACAAAGCCCCCCACCATGCAGAGCCCCGCCCCACGCAGTCCCTGCCCCCACCCATAGTCCTGGGAGCTCCCCACCAAGGCCCAGGGGTCAGCAGCGCTGGCAGCTGCTCAGGCTCTGCTGCCCCACTCCTCAGGGTGCCATGGCCCATCAGGCCCTGACTCAAGAGCCTCTCTCACCTCGTAGAGTGAACGAATGACTGGGGTTGGTAGAGAGGTTCCCCATGTTGGGGCGCCTCCCTCACAGCCCAGAGCCAGGAAGACAGAGAAGGAGGCTTAGGGGGAGGGTGGCCGCCTCTCATCCAGGGTTAGTGGAATAAAGGGCAGTTTTGCTGCCTCCCCACTTCCCAGACTCCTGCTGGAGATGCTGCTTCTTAAAGCTCTCTGATGGTCTCCCAGGGGCAGTGAGGTGGGGTCAGGGGGTCAGCGGTCAAGTGGTAGGAAGAGGGCTTGCTGAGGGCACTGTCCTGCACAGGACGGCAGAAACAGACACTGCAGGGGCTGAAACAGGGAGCCACGGGGCAGAGCAGAGGGCCAGGGCATCATAGTGGGGGGCTGAGTCAGAGAGGGTGGTGGGAAACAGGGACAGAGTGGGCCTGCCAGTCGGCGGGGGCCCTGTGCTGCTTTTGGCTGCCCTGTTCACCCTTCATAGGAAGGCCGTTTGGGGAGCCTTCTTTGTCTCAAGCCACACGTGAGCACTGCTCCGAGAACCTTGTGGTCCCATCACTGCAGCCGGACCAAAGTGTTGAGTGGGGTGTGGCAGGCAGAGCCTCGGCCCTGAGCCTGGCACACAGTCAGCCCCACAGGTGTTGGCTACTGCTGCTGCTGCTGCTCTTCGGCCGCCGGGCTGCCCCCTGCCCCTCCTCACCGCCTGTCCTCTCTCTTTGCAGGCGAGGAGTTTGCTGTATCAGTTTCGCCTCTTGCCCCGGATCCCCTGCAGCCTGCACGACTTGTGTAAGCTGTGTGGGACCGGCATGTGGGACAGCGGTTACATACCCGCTGTGGAGTGCACGGGCCACCACCTGGGGTCGGACAGCTGTCCCTATGGGGGCATGGTGGAGACACCATCACCCAAGCCCGCCAGAGAAGGCAAGAAGGGCCCAAAGACGCTGCGGGAAGGCTTTGGTGTCCGCAGATAGGTTGGGCTCCCTGCGCTGGACGAGGGTTGAGGGGACCTCGCTGGAGGTCCCGAGCATGTGGGAGGGGTGGGGATGGGCATGGAGGGGACAGGGGATGGTAGAAACTAAAGAAAATGCCTTTGGGTGACATGAAGGGAAACTTTTCATATTAATGACAAAAGCAGAGCCTGGAAGCAACAGAAGTAAACCCCACCAGCGGCCCTGAGAAAAGTCAGCTCCTGAAACAGAGGGACCAGAACGCATGGCCACTCCACCTGGAGACCAGGCTGCCTGGGTTCTCTTGTGGCCTGCCTTTGATGGCTCTCAGCACATCCCAGGAACTCCTCCAACTCCTCCAGCTTCATTAGCAGCCGAACAGCATTGCCAGGCCATGGGAAAGGCAAGGGCAGGAGAAGGTCCTGTTTGTCCACCAGTGCCAGGGGATGCAGAACAGAAGGGGGTCCCATCCAGGCCCAAAGACATCTTTGCAAGCCGGACACACCTCCTCATCAGGCCTCATTCTCTGAGCAAGCCAAACGCACTCCTACAGCTTCTCCAGCCACAGCTGCAAAGCTGATGTGAAGATCTGCCCCAAAAAAGCCCCACTGATTTCAGGATAGAGAAGTGTAAGAGCAGTGGGGAGTTCGAGAAGCTGGGGGCTTTTCACACTGTCCATTTAAACACTTTATACTGCTGGTATGTGAAGGAGACTGTTTGCCCATGAACCCGAGCTGCGGGCTGTTGCAGAGTGTTGGATTCCTCTCCCTTAGTTGGGGAATTTCTACATGAGGTTCTTTGGTATTGTTTAAAGTCAACCTCAGCAAATAGAGCACAAGCTGGGGGTGGGCGGACTGAGGTGTGTGTGCACATGCACATGAAAAATGCTCTGGAGAGTCTGCACTGTTGAGGGAAGGGGTAGAGTGTTAACTGAACGGCCAGGACAAAGGCACCTGAAAGGAGCTGGTAGGACCCCTGCCTCCTGCAGCGTCTGCAGTCTCCTGTGATCTATAAATCAGCTTCTCAGGTGGTCAGACGCAAGAGCCACCACAGCAAAGTAGCCAGCACTCAGGGCATCTCTGCTTTCTGTGTGGGAACCAGGTCTTCCCAACACGCTCTCCTTCCTCCAAAAGATTGATATCAGCCATTTGCACAGAAAGGCACTCTTTGAACTGGTGGGAGCGAGGAGCCTTGAATCCTTCCTTGAATCCCCCTGCACGTCCTTCTGGGGAGAAAAGTCCTTGAAGTGCTGGGAGCTGTCATGGACTCACAGCCCTGACTGAGGCTTCTTCCTACTCTCAGCTTTTCTCTGGAGAATGAATGCTCCTGATGGTGTCACTTTAAAAAGATGCTTATCAACAGGAGAGAGGAAGTCACCAGCCTCCTCCCTTCTCAGCCTCTCTTTTCTCCATGAGCCCAAGTCCTCCAGCAGGCAAGGAGACCGAGACGGGCGCTTTCCGGTCCCTCTGTCCAAGAGCCTTTTGAAGAGACCATCCTGGGGCCCCTCAGTGCCCAGCTCTTGGAGTCCTGACCATTGCAGTCCAGCAGCAGGGTCCAGGGAGGATGGGGCTGGACTTCTCATCTGCTCTGCTTCTGGGAAAGGAGGAGTGCCTTTCTGTGTTGGCTCCTCATCTGTTGTGGAAATGGCTTGAGTTAGCCAGGCACTATTCTGACCCTCCTCTAGAAACCACACCCTCGTGAACAGGCATTATCAGTTATCCCTTGCCACAGTAATGCTGCATAACAAAAAACCCCAAAACCTGGTGGCCTCAAACAGCACACACTTGTGTAGCACATGAGTCTGCAGGTCAGCAGTTTAGGCGGGGCAGTTCTTCTGGTCTCGATTGGGCTTGCTCCTGTATCTGGGGTCAGCTGGCTGTTTAGTCCCAGCGGGGTGCTCACATGTGTTGAGGTCAGACTTGGCTCTGCTCTGTGTCTCCCACATCACTCCTACAGGCTATTCCTGGCCAAGGCAGAGGTGCAGAAGCAGAAATGCACAGGTGCCTTTCCAAGCCTTGGCAGACGTCACACCTGCTGCCTTCCCATTGGCCACAGCAAGTCACATGGCCAACTCAGCATCAAGGGGTGGGGAAATGGGCCCGCCTCCGTAGTGAGAGGAGCTGCACAGGGACCCGGCAAGGGGCTGGCATTCAGGAATGGGTGAGGAACTGGTTGGTACGGTCTACCACTACCACCAGGAATCTTGGTCCAAATAACACTGTTTTGGAACACGCCTTCTGCCAGCAGTGGACTTCCCTGGAGAGGCAGGGGATGCCTAGAAGAGGGGAGGGAGCACTCCTCCCCTTGCCCTCTCTAGCAGCAGAGCATTTTTACTACGATTCCTTGTGCCTTTGGGCTGCTGTGTGTGGGGGTGTCCCAGGGATCCCCTCGCTTTGGAGGGTCCTGGTGCATAGCATTTATTCTGAATCTCCCAGCTCCCACAGCCCCTCACCCCCACAGCTCCCCAAGACCCCATACCAAGTCTCCCCTTCTCCCCCCACCCTCACTGCTCCCACCTCACACGCTGTGGGCTGGGCTGGGCCCCCGTGAGATCTGTGCCTCTCAGAACAGCTAGGATCTCGGAAGCCGAGGGACACGCTGCTCTGGAGGGATGAGAAGGCCCGCCCCTTGCACAACTCCTTAATCTGGATGCAATTAGAGGAAACCAGCCAAAAACCCTGCGGCAGCTGTTGCCCCAGGATTATTCCCAGCCAGCAAAAGGCATTAGGGTGATAATTCAGTCATTAGACTCCTACCTTCCCAGCGCCAGGATGTGCAAATGCGGGGTAATCAGCCCTGCTCGACCGTCCTCCACGATGCTGCTTATTTAACCCATTTTTTAAAATGACACTTAATGTTATGGGCCGGTGTGCGTGTGCATGCATACTTAAAAGTTTCCCCACCACTGATATCTGTGCTGATGTTACACAATGTCGTTGGAGCCTCTGGGGAGAGAGGGCGCCCTTGATGTGCGCGTGCTGGCAGAGAAGGGGCAGCACGGAGGGGGCTTGCCAGCCCAGCTGGGCCCAGGAGGATGGGGGACACACAAGCTGGGGAAACAGTGGGGCTGGGGTCTGGTTAGGTGCAGAGGGGAGCAGTGTGTTGTTCCAGAAGGTTCCAACTCAGGTCCCAGCCAGGAAGACTTAGAACTCACAAGTCATGGGAATCCGTGTCCCTGAGCCAATTCCAGAGGGAGGGACTGGTACGGTAGGGAGGAGCCCCAGCCCACCCCTGCAGAGGAGGAGGGTCTGCAGTCCAGACGAGGCAGCTCCACTGGCAGCCTTGGTCTGGACGCTGTCAGCAGGCAGCACTGTGCTGTCCTCGGAGTTTTCCATAAGAGCCCTGCCTGAAGCCCTGCTGGGGGCGGGCAGCTGGACAGGATGAAGATGCTGCTCCTGAAACCTGGGCTTCCCCTGGGCTAAGTGGCAGTGGCTGGCAGAGGTCACCCAGCTTCGACCTTGGACAGGTGACATAGGAAATGGGGCAGAGATTGTGGACCATGGTGTGGGGCCTCTGTGGCTCTCCCCCTGGTTTTTGTGCTGTCCTCTGAGCTCTCTTGTCTGTTCTTGTTTGGTAGAAGAAACTTGGAGGGGCAGCCCCCAGGATGATGGGAATCTCCTCATGGCTGTGCCCCACTCCTGAGGAAGCCTCTATCCTCCGTCCGGCCTCCCCTCCCCTTGCAGGGAGGCTGGAAGGTGTCAGGGACACCTGGGTTCACTGAGCAAAGGGAAGGAAGCCTCTTCTGGTTTGTCTGCCCTGCAGAGGCTCCTGGAGGCTGCCCTGCCTTGGAGGAAGGAGGAGGAGATCCCCCCGGGAAAACCACACACGTGGGGGTGCAGCCTGGGCCAGAGGGGGCCAGGACTGGCCTTGAGCTGTGAGGGAGCCCGCAGGTCTGGCCTGAGGCTGCGCACTTCCCCTGGAGGCCCTGAGGAACCCGACAACTCGGGATCCCGTTGGCCTGCATTTCTGAGCCGGGCGGCTGGGCTGTCCTTGGAGTGGAAGCTTTCTGTCCCTTGTGTCCTTGGCTCAGAAGGAATTGCCCAAAACTAACCAGCTTGTTTCCCCCGAAGCTGTGAAGCCTGAGGACAGTGCTGCACAGGGGGAGATGCTTACCTAGGGTCAAGTGCCTGGTTCTTGTTCCGCCTCTGACCCTCCTGGGCACCTGGTCTTCCCCGAGCCTCCATTTCCTCATCCATGGAATGAGAATGACGATGTCCACGCAGCCCCCCTCACAGGACGGCGGGGGGCTTTGTCCATGTAAAAGCTGTTGTGGGGATGGTTAAGCCCCAGGGACCTCACCTGCCACTCAGGGAAGAGACCATTGACCCGGGTCTTGACCTTGGCCTTCAGCAGCTTTGACGGAGAGAGGTGGCGGCCTCCCGCCTCCAGAGCTCTCCCTAGTTTGGGAGTCAGCAAACCCACTCCCTTCCACACGTCTGCCTTGCTGCGTGTCCCCAGCCAAGGGGAAGCCTCTCTGTGCCTCTTCTGTAAAATTCACCCCATGCCACCCCACACCTGCCACGAAGAATCACCATGAACCATAACCTCGGCCACCCCGCAAGATGTGTGTGTGTGTGTATGTGGGCGTGCAAGGCTCCGCCACAGGGACTGGGTGGTACACTGAAGGTCTTACGTCTCAGCTGTGAAAACAGCCAGGCTGGCCTCCTGGGTCAGCACGGGAGCAGGGCCGGGGTGCAAGCAGCCTGCGGTCCTCTGGCTCTTTAAACACTTTGTGCTGAATTTCTAGGTCAGAAGGTGACATTTCAAGTTCAAAGAGAGGGGAAGTCACAGGGCCCTCTTCTCTCCGGCACCTTTGGCTTACAGAGGACAGGTTTTTGTTGTTTAAGGGAACCCGTCATGAAATTTGCACCATTACTAAGAGGTTACTGACTTCCGTGGCAAGCACTTTGTTCTCTGTGTTTTGTTTTGTTTTGTAAATACAATTGCCCACTGGTCAGGCCCTGCCCCAGCTCCGGGACTAGTCACCATGACCCCTGCTAGCCACGGCCCCACAGCACTTCCGGCTCTCATGGATTCCACCGCAAAGTAAATAAAATCATATTGACAACCAACATACGCTCTACTGCGCCTTAGGAGAGGGTCTGGCGGGGTGTGTTAGGTGAAAGTGTGCCAGATTCTG